GGGGTTTCACCATATTGGCCAGGCTGATCTCGAACTCCTGACCTGATGAACTGCCCGCCTTGGCCTCCCAAAGTGCTGGGATTACAGGCGTCAGCCACCGTGCCCAGCCTTGCTTTAACCAATTTAGCTTACTAGACACAAGCCCATCAGCAGTAGTCATGGACATCATCTACAGCGCTATTTTGAATACAGCTTCTAAATTCTTGAAAAAAAAATTAGCAATGTAAAATTAAGCTCAAGACGAGAAGCTTCAAGCTGAGATGCTTGAATATGGTGATTAGAACTAAAACAAGAAACTGCCCAGGCGCGGTGGCTCACGTCTGTAATCCCAGCATTTTGGGAGATCGAGGCGGACAGATCACTTGAAGTCAGGAGTTCAAGACCAGCCTGGCCAACATGGTGAAACCCCCATCTCTACTAAAAAATACAAAAATTAGCCAGGCGTGGTGGCGCCGGCCTGTAGTGCCAGCTACTTAGGAGGCTAAGGCAGGAGAACCGCTTGAACCCGGCAGGCGGAGGTTGCAGTGAGCCGAGATCAGGCCACCACACACTCCAGTATGGGTGACAGAGCAGAGACTCCGTTTCCAAAAAAAAAAAAAAAGAAAAGAAGAATTAAAATAGGAAACAAGGACTTTTTTATAAAGTCACCCAGTCCTGTCATCTAGCCCTATGTCAATCTGACAAACTCAGAATCAACTTCTAGGAGGGGCCTAAGAAATCCCTTTCACAGTGTAAACGTTTTAGGCAAGTTAACACATGCCGGGTCCCCTATGCACATTGGAAATAGCAAGTCTGCCCCTAGGTCAGCCTTCTGTGATTGTTCAGTTTTGCTTAAACACCCTAAAAAAAAAAATTCTAGATGTGAGCATGTGAAAATAAGCGTGAACTGGCAGGGCGCAGTGGCTCCCGCCTGTAATCCCAGCACTTTGGGAGGCCGAGGCAGGTGGATCACGAGGTCAGGAAATCGAGACCATCCTGGCGAACATGGTGAAACCCCGTTTCGGGCGTGGTGGCGGGTGCCTGTAGTCCCAGCTACTTGGGAGGCTGAGGCGTGAATCCAGGAGGCGGAGCTTGCAGTGAGCCGAGACCGCGCTACTGCACTCCAGCCTGGGCGACAGAGCGAGACTCCATCTCAAAAAAAA